TGTTCTGCTGCCAGACATTACGTTTACACTCACGTCATATACTACTTATAAGTAGAGTGCACCACACTCGTCCCCCTTTTAAATAGCTGTCGTCGTAGTCTTTCTGATTGCCGTACCGTTGTCATCTTTGGTGCTTTTCGTGACTCATACACTTGATAATCTTGAAACCATCTCTGCAGTTGACTAGCATTAAGGCGCTTCTGCTTGTCTTCTCTCCGTAAGCCCGTTTTTCTGCGGATGGTACGGTGTAGTTCGTATCCTCTTGACGCCAAACTGCTTTAGACGGGCTTTAAACTCGTCACTTTCAAAACAGGGACCCTAGTCAGTTAATATCACCTTCCGTATTCCGTGACACGCTACAATATGCCGGATTACCACTTCGGTCATTGTTCTTGCCCGCTGGTCTGGAATGGGTACGGTATCTATCCAACGTGTAGCGTTTACTAGTTCTCGCTGCTGGGACACGGCGGCAGGCACACTCTCGATAGATTGTGACGCCAAAAGCTGTGCCTCCGACTCCTCATCGGTATTCGGCAGAGCACGGCGCAACAATCTGGTGAGCTCCACAGCAATCACCAGCAGGTCACCATCAGCCGACAACCTCGCCAACCGGAACTTCTGCAGCGCCTTCTCCTTGTCCACTGGGCTGTCGAACTCCGTCATCAGCCACCTGGTGACCATCTCCCACGCCGTCTTCCCGGCGGCACCGTCCAGGCTGTCGTAAACCGCCTTTGCCTCACCTCCCCGCAGCGTCCCCAGCACCAGCAATACCGCCCCGGGCCCCTTCACACCCAACAGCCCCACCACGGCCTCAAACTCCTCCAGGAAGCTATGTAAATCTCCGTCCTCAAACTCCTTCGGCCACGGGAGCTCCTTCCTTCGAGCAGGCAGCGACACCAAATGTAGTGAAGGAGAACATAGGTGAGGACAACCGAATTGTATTTAACGAAAATTACAGAGTTACTCAGTAAAATAGGAAAACCGTATCGTAACCGTTAATTTACAAATCTTCAATCCATCATCAATCCATTGTCTGACATTTCACTATTCATGCGTTTCATACAAATTCCATTGTGTTCCCACTCTTCCTTTCTTGATCTTCCCCCATGTTCTGCTGCCAGACATTACGTTTACACTCACGTCATATACTACTTATAAGTAGCGCGCACCACAGTAGTGGAAACTGCGAAAAGTGTTTCATTCTATTTGGCTAGATGCATCTGGATTTCATTGTTAGATTTTTACACTACAGTTTGAGCTGAATATCTGTCTTATGAAGTCCCCAGAAAATATCAGCCTGTCAACAAAGACTGATCAGATATCAGTCACAATATTGAACAACGAGATACTTGAAATCCATTATAGCAATGATATCAGTATTGTATCTAATGCACAAGTGAGTCCCCATGTGGATTCACTAGTTCAATAAAATATCGAGTTAGGCATTTTGTTAGTAAAACATACTCAGTTCTATGCATGGCGTCAAATATCAACACTGGATGTGAGTCTACCTAGTTCTAAATTAGTCGGAAAGCAAGTACTGCAAGCTACAAATCTATCTACTATATATAAACGTTTGAAAATCGCAACACCTAGACAGTCCGCACAAAATGGACATATGCAAACAAATCTCCATTGAAACTGCATCACCATGACACAAGTCATTTTTGAATAACATTTTACTTTCTGTCATATATACTGTATATTATCATTTTACTTATGAGAATGCTAATTATCGAAATTTCAGAAACATGTTTAAAGTATAAGCAGAGTATCTTTTTCCTAAAATTCAAGGAAAAAAAATTCTATAAATATATATATTTCGAGATAGATTTAGAATATAATTAATAATGAATTTTTTCAAACATACACACTTCGAATAATGATCAACAATAGTAAGTCAATTCATTAATGTTAACTTAATTGACGTTAAAATTTATTGCCTGTTGAAAAGAAAAAAGAATATTCTTATTTTTTTTCAAATCAGGTCAACGCCCCACATTGATTTATCATAATTTCCATTGATCAAAATGATCCATATAACGAAATTGGACAAAAAAAAACAGAACCAGCATAGTATAATGCAGATCGTTGTTTTTACATAGCGAAATCATAAACCTACCATTAGAATGACCATCGTGCAGGTACTGAGCTCGTCAGCAGTGTGCATCCACGACTCTTGCTACCCGCAGGATTCGAACCCAGGACCTTAGGTGAACACTTAACCTCTGGACCATTGAGCCAGCATCCAGTGGTGTTAATGTTTACCTCTGATCAATCTAATGTGATCAGCAGTGACTAGCTTTGTCAGGGAATTTCTCGGAGGTTTAATCGTAAGATGTGACCGGTAGGGTTCAACCCCGTCGAGTGTAGACAGTAACTACCGAAGACAAATGGGTGAGGTTGGGCAAGATACTTAGATTTACCAAAGCTAGACATTTATACCGTTAGGTGCCGTCTTAGTTGTCGTGCTGGCCCGAAGTTCTTGGGTTCGAATCCTGCAAGTAGCCGTAGTTTGGGATGCTCACTGCTGATGAGTCCTATACCAGGACGAAACAGCTTTCCAGTGCTTTCAGGTTTCTAATGATGGTCTAACAATGATTGGTTTTTAAATTTAGTAATAAACAGTAATCGAAATCCATTAAAAACTCTTTTTATTTTCGAAGTACAATATTTTTGTTTTAATTAGATCTGAGAGATATCTCCTTCTATTCTGTGATCATGTCATAGATTGTTGATTATTTTTTAATGACTAATGCATCCAAAAATAATCCAAATGAGTTAGACATCATGATTCATTGTTAAAAAATGCACATGTTATGAATGATACTTTTTTTTTGGTAAATATATGAACTGTCATCATATCAAAATATTTAAATGACAAATTAATCAATACTTGAATTCATATCGTTCACACTAATCAGAATCACATTATTATTCATTGTTCACTAGTTAATTTAATTTAATTAAATAAGAGTTATGCAGACTAGTGTTTTGACACATTTGAAATCATCAATCAATCAGTCATTGTCAATCATCACCATTACAAAACCTGGAAGCATTGAAAGACGGTCGTTTAGTCCTAGTATGGGACTATTCATCAGCAGTGTTCGCCCACGACTGCTGCACTTCGCAGGATTCGAACTCACGCACGTGATAAACTTCAATTTTTAAGTCAACAAAACTATTTGATACGATAATGTTTACTTTTGTCCTGTGTTTTATTCTTTAATACTGTGTAGATTTATCATTGATACATAAGAGTTTATATTCCAGTTGTGAATATGATTACTTTTTATTAATTAGCAAAAGTCGTATTGAAATGAATGGTTCAGTAAAACTGAAATGTTTAAAACATACAGTGTAAGATATTTTTTTTTAGAAACTAAACTGGTTTTTGCATTCTGAAAAGTTATGTCAGTAGTTTATAAGTAGTAACATATTTTGTTCAATGGAAAGTCAAGTTAGTGAAGGTTGTGTTTTTTTTTTGTCAATAGAAATTCATACATTTCATGCATGACAAGCAGGAATCAACAATGAATACTTGCAATAAAATATCTGCCTAAAGTTTATTTATTTGCTTGAGGTTATCAACTTTATCCACAATATAACATTAATATCACCACTGATGATGATAAATCATAGTGAGTTTTCGTGTTTGGTTGACATGCTTCGAATCCTGCGACGTGCGCGAGTCGTGGGTGTGCACTGGTGATGAGTAGTCCCACACAAGGACGAAACGGCCGTTTCTAATAGTGGTCTAACATTGACGGATTAATGATTTCGAATGTGTAAATTAATATTCCTAAAATCATACATACCATATCGATATCGATAAGTGGACAAGCATGGAGAATTTTGTTTCACCGGTAACCATAGACTAGTGTAAACAGTAATCGAAACTGTTTTACGTACAAAGTGTAGCGTTTAATTTTGTGTCATGAATGTACTGCATTGTTTGATATGCTTGAATTGTTACTGTAAAAATTACTATTAAAGATTACTTTGACTAGTTAATGTATTTCTTACTATAAATTTATTCAGCTTACGGTTTAACTTTTTTCTGAACTGGTGTCGAATGAGGACAAAAAATAATTAGTCATACTGTATTCAGATATTTGCATAATGATGGACTATTAAATCTAGGATAACTAATTCAACATCGTATTTAATCGTAGCAAATGTTTGCCTTTCTGTTGTAAATTACGTTTTACAGAAATATGTTTTTAGTAGTTTTGACAAAGGGAAAGAAAACTGTCACACTGAGTGATCAGATGGTTAGTATAGAATAGATAAAGTGCACCATATTTCCTTTCGTGAGGTTATATCCATTCGTCAACAAACAGATCATTGGTGACTTCTTCGTTCTGGTTTGATTCCAGTTATTTTTCAGGGTTATGTATTTCATGGTATACCTTGACCACTCAGTATCATATGTTTTTGGATTAGAGTGACATATAGACGAATGAATCATTGTTGGACAGTTATTAGGAACCTGAAAGCACTGGATGGTCGTTTCGTTCTCGTCTGGAACTCATCAACAGTGCGTATGCTTAATACTCAATTGCAAAATCAAAACATGTGCTCACTAGTGATTAGCTTCGTAAGGAAAGTCTCACAGTTCTAGTGAGAAGACTTGACCAGTGAAGTTCAACCCTGTCGGGTGTAGGCAGTTACAGTTAGACATTACTACCGTGAAATACTGTCTCAGTGTTCCAGAGGTTATGGTCCTTGGTTCGAATCCTGCAAGTAGTCAGAGTCGTGTATGCCTACTGCTGATGTGTCCCATACCAGGACGAAACGCACGTCCATTAAATCCAGATTTGAAGGTAATATCATATATGATATCATATCACATATCTAACATAAAAAAAATGAAAATTTCTCTCATTTAATATAAATATGATTGTATTCTAATCATTAAATAAATAGTTCAATTACAAATTTGGATAAATCATTTTCAAATCATTGTTTGTAGATTTTTTATTTTTTATTTTTGCTCTCTGTGTATGTTGAAAATGATAAACTAATTATTTACATAATAATATGAGATAAATAAATGAAATATTGAAAAATTTACTTTCTAAAGAGAGTAGCATAAGTGGTAACTAGTGGTTGTATGCGTTTTTTTTTTCCAAAATTTTTAAAGAATTAAAAAGCAATAATAATTATGATTATGATTATTATTATGATTATGATTGATTCAGAAGAAGGTAAGGTATCCATTTGAGACATAAATAAATGTATATATATATATATTTTTTTTTTTCTTAAAGAACTATGTTTTTAATAAAATATCACAGTGAATTGACTAAATAACATGATACATAACAGAGTTGGTAAAGATAACAATGAAAGACTTGATGCTTTAGCTCGATAAAGAACTCGTGGTGCCAGAGTATTTGGTGGATTCAATAATTGAAGAGGACGAAAATTATTAGTCATTATAGTTTGATTTTCATGTGAAGCATAAAGTAAAGTACGAAATAATTTCATCTAGAAATAAAAAAAGGGAAATAGTTAGTGTAGACAACAAGTATATATATATATATATATATATATATATATATATACAGACTATTAAATACTATTGTAGTACAAAAATATGTCATAAAATTTCTCTACCTAAGATGTCAATTCATCGCATGTTACAGTTGATATTTGATGAAGAGAGGTGAGACACCAAATAGTGTAGCATCAATTCATGAGGTCAGTGATTGAGATGATTTGTGAGTTTGTTACTTAATAGTTAGTACTTAATGTCAAATGAATATACTGTAGTGAAGGAGAACACCGGTGAGGGCAACCGAATTGTGTATTCAAAGAAAATTACAGAGTTACTCAGTAAAATTGGAAAACCATATCGTAAATCGTTCATTTTGCAAAATATCAGTTCATCATATCGAACTGGACTGTTCCTGTTGCAAAACATCAATCCATTGTCACTATTCATGATGCGTTTCATACAAATTCCATTGTTTTCTAACTTTTCCTTTCTTGATCTTCTCCCATCTTCCGCTGTCAGACGTTACGTTGACACTCATGTCATATACTACTTATAAGTAGCTCACACCACAATACTACTATACTACTTATTTATACACTACTTATTTATTCTGTTTTTATGTTTTGTAATTATATGGAATGTTGTTTTACTGCATTTGATTCAGTGTTTATCATTTTTCTAATATAACTGATAACTTTGTGATAGTGGGTTTTTTGAACTGTCGACATGTTCATACTTTCTTGATAACCTGATACCATACGGTGTGAAAATATGAACTGATACATATTTATGTCTTGTTGCATACTATTTAAGATTTACTGATATGCAAATCATACTAAGCATTCATTCTATTGTAGTGATCTCAGCAAGTGTGAGAACTACATAGGCATCAGTCTTTTCTCAATATCAGAAAAAGTGTTTAACAGGGCGTTGTTGAACAAAGTGAAGGACTTCGTAGACGCCCAACTTCGAAACCGACAGGCTGCATTTCGTAAGGATTGATTGTATGCCTACCAAATTTCAACATTACGAATCATTGTGAAACAATCAGCTAAATGGAATTCAAGACTTTACATTAACTTCACCGACTATGAGGAAGCATTTAAAATCGTCGACAAGATGATACTCAGGTTGCTTACTCTCACCCTTTCTCTTTCTCCTGGTGATCGACTGGATTATGAAGACGTCAACATCTGGAGGGAAGCACGGTATACCGTGGACAGCTAGAATGCAGCTGGATGATCTGGCTCATTTATCGCACGCACATCAGCAAATGCAGGAGAAGATGACCGATGTATAAGCAGCCTCAGAAGCAGTAGGTCTGAACATACAGAAACGAAAAAGCAAGATTCCTCGATACAACACTACACTGCATAAGGCAGAAACTCGAAAAACTAACAAAGCCATCATCCAGAAGAAACAAGTGTTCATTACCAGTTGTCTTCGCAAAATACTTAGGATTCGTTAGCCAGACACCATCAACAACAACCTACTGTGGAGAGGACAAAGCAGATTCCAGTGGAGGAGGAAGTCAGAAAGAAGCGTTGGAAGTGGATGGGACACACACTGCGACCAGCAATCAACTGTATCACAAGACTAGCCCCCACTTGAAATCCTCAAGAACAAAGGAGAAGAGGAAGATCAGAAAACGTCGAGAAATGAAGACCGACGGGAGAAGAATGAACAAATATTGGACAGAACTGGAAAACAAGGCTAAGGACAGAGTAGATTGGAGAATACTGGTCGACAGCCTATGTTCCATCGCAGGTAACAGGCGTAGGTAAGTAATTCACTATAAATTGTAAATTGGACAAAACTAATCATATTGTTAGCAACATTAACAATATCATCAGTGATAGAGCACAAATAATGTTTATTGAATAATAAAATCAATTTTTGTAGATTCTTGAATCAGCAATAATAATTGATGTAATGAATAAAGGTTATTCAAATGATTAATTGTTTTTTACATTTATAACAAGTGTAGAGAGCCTAACGAACAAGTAATTGAAATCAACCATTTACCCTAATAGTTCTTTATTGTTGAATTTTCAGATTCGCAATCTGTTCACATCAAAAAAAATCTTTAATGCGCCTGTTTAGGATGAAGTGATTTATGAACGATTGTGTAATGTTGTGAACCTCATTGATGTAATTATAGTATTATCATTGCAGTAGTTAACATTCTAATTTTCATGTTATTCAGTAATGAAAAGTAATGGAGAGTAATACTCTCAGGTCTTTTGATTATATTTTTGATTTGATTTGATTTGATTAATTGTAGTCACAAAATGGAGTTCAATTTGTTAAATGTTCAATTGATCATCATTTTGACTAATTTATTGAAAATGAACATGTGGTGTGAGCTACTTATAAGTAGTATATGACGTGAGTGTCAACGTAATGTCTGGCAGCAGAAGATGGGAGAAGATCAAGAAAGAAAGAGTTAGAACACAATGGAATTTGTATGAAACGCATGAATATTGAAATGTCAGACAATGGATTGATGTTTTGCAACAGGAACAGTCCAGTTCGATATGATGAACTGATATTTTGTAAATGAACAATTTACGATATGGTTTTCCTATTTTACTGAGTAACGCTGTAATTTTCGATAAATACAATCCGGTTACCCCACCTGTGTTCTCGTTCACTACAAACAGACCTAATAATCAATCGATTTCAATAATAAGGTGAACGCATTCATGACTCAAAGTGGAACGTACTAATTTGCTTAGGTGCAAATAGGTACTAAGTACAGGTCACATACACCGATTTCCCTATAATTGAAAATAAACCTAGATAATGAGTATCGACTATCATAATATGTAGATTTCAGAAGTGCTACAGATTAGTTTCAAATCTAAACAGTATAGAAAGAGCATACTAATGATGAATGATTGAAACTAGTTAGTACGTTGAAGATTATTCGAAATTGTCTAAATCAGAAACATGAGTCCTTTTTTATTAATTTTGATAAAACAGTGAGAAGATGTAATTGATCTGAAAAATGTGATGTATTTGCGCTTGAACAATCTGGTCACACATATTTACTTGTCAAGGCACAATTTGTTATAATCTTGAATTTACCCTGGTAATCTTTAAGCCTATAGTAATGTGACAATTTCTTGCCCTTAATTATTCTTTTCATATTACGTTAATTTTCTCTCCTCCCTTCATTTACAATTATCGCCTTATGTATATTTGAACTCTTATTGACCTTTTTATTAATGTTCATATAAAATGCTTTGATAAGTATGTGTATGTGTGAACAGATTGTTAGAAATGTATGACACGAATACATTACATTTTACAAATCAACTCTACGTCATCTCACTGTTCTATCAATATCTAATGGCAGATTAATAGATGAAGAATTGAAACGTCATCAGTTGAAGTGGTTGGGACACGTTCTGCGTATGCCTAACCACCGACTGCCTCGACGAGCTTTGTTTTGTATTGTAGGAATAGGTTGGAAGAAAGTAAGGGACGGCCAGACCAAAACATGACAGAAATCCATGAAGTCATTGATAAGTGGACTGAGTCATATCGGTAGTTGTCGACTACGTGGTTAGGGTCCGCGAGATGATAATAATCGATTGTTAGAGACTCTGAATGACATGACTCAAAACCGTTCGCAATCGCGCCGGTGCATTTATTCTTTGTGTTCTCTCAAATCCTAATCTTCTGGATTCTTCTACACCTCTAGTTTTGTCTTTCTAAACTTTTCTCACTGAATCATACTTCTTGAATAATATGTTCTAATCCTAACCTCTCCTATTACTTTTAATACCTTTACTACCACTTCTACTATTGGATTTGAATTGACAATTATATCTCTGTGCTGATGTGGTATGGCAACATGAACTGATGTACTTACGTACGAAGTTCTACGTTGCATCTGACTGACTGACTGACTGACTGTTCTATCAAAACACGAACTTAGTTATTACTCAATGATTAATCTATATATCAATACATTTACATCTATTTCGATGAAGTTAATTTTATGTAAAACTAGTGAGACATTTAAATTTATTTCGTCAACACAACATAACATAATAACAACATTTTCTATAATGCTTACTTGTTCAAGTGTAATCGGTACAGGATCTGTGAAAACAGTCCATAGAACATTTTCAGTACATGGTGGAGTTGTTAATGAACCGAAATAACGAAAATAACGATCAGGATTCAAAAAATCAAGAATTGCTGTTAAATTAAATTCATCAACTGTTAAAATAGTCGATGGTACCAATTGTGAATTCAATAGACCAGAAAAATTTCTATATGCACGGAATACTGTATTTTCATATGTTGCTGATTCTACAATATTATGCATAATACCAAGAACAGCAAGTCCACCTGGTCGACTGACAGCTTCATTGGCTGAAGGATACATTTCTTTACGATATGATACTATATGTCCCTAAAAAAAAATTTAAATAATTATTGGTGTAAAGATTGAAAACAGTCATTTTAAATGTGAGACAATTAAATCTAGTTAGTAAATTTTGTATTGATTCACTACTGATGAATGAGTTAAATGACTCATCAACTACATTTATCGATTATATCAATAAACTTGACTTTGTGTTGATTTTAGTCATTGCACACAAAAAAAAATTGCATACAGAAATAGTTTTCCATTGATGATCTGTTGAATTTATCAGGAATCTGCTATTAATTGACATGAATAATGATCACTGTTAGTTCTCACAAACTATACGGTTTCATTTGAAATGGTTCATCAGTGAAAAGTGTTATTTTTGAAACTTGGAAAATTCCAGAACACTCGTTATTTACCTTCATGGCTATATTAATTGGTTCATTGTTTGTGGAAAAAGAAGGAAAGAGGTTTTCTGCTTTAGATCAATTCTACATTTTTTGAAACCATGAATCGATCTACGTTAGACCACCATTGGAAACCTGGAAGCACTGAACGGCCGTTCCGTCCTAGCATTGGACTCCTCAGCAGTGAGTATCTATGACTCGAACCCAGGACCTTCGTTATTGTGCGCGAACGCCCTAACCGTTACGCCAATGAGCCGGTATCTAACGGTGTTCATGTCTAACTTGATCAAATTCACGGAGTTGCGCAACCTCATACACAGTCTTCGGTAGACACTGCCTACACCCGAACAGTTTGAACTTCACTAGTCATGTCTTCCCACTAGAACTCATTGGAGAAGATTCCTCAGGAAGCTAGTCACTAATGAGCACAGGTAATTTGCATTACAGGGTTGTTGTGAAGATTGTTAAGTTACACATTTTCTAACAATAATTCATTGAAAAAAAGAAATACTCACTTCTAATGGAAATCTATGTCCATCAATTGTATGCTCAGATCCATGATCATTTGTACTACCCCAATGGAAATGCAATTCTACAATTTCATATTTCTTGTCATATAATCCATCGAATGATATAAACCATGTGTTATTTGGAAATTTAATTCTAACTGAATGATTTAAACAAAATAAATAGATTGACAAATTTAGATTTAATAAAAGTCTTTTTATTCATCACAAAATATTATTGAAGCATTACACGCATTTATAATATGCTGCCTTATTGAATTGACAGGACCGAAAAAGCAATTTGACTAGATTATGAATTAAACATTCAATTTATACTTATTCACAAAATTCGCAACGAAGAACTTCGCGTGCACGTAAGTACATCAGTTCAAGTTGACATACCACATTAGCACAGAGACACATTCGTCAATTCACATCACATAATAGTAGAGGTGGTAGTATGGTGCCCACTACTTATAAGTAGTATATGATGCAAGTGAAAACGTTATGTCTGGCAGCAGAAGATGGGGGAAGATCAAGAAAGGAAGAGCGGGAGCACAATGGGGTTTGTATGAAACGCATGAACAGTGAAACGTCAGACAATGGATTGATGTTTGCAACAGGAACAACAGTCCAGTTCGATATGATGGATTGATATTTTGCAAATTAACGATTTACGATATGGTTTTCCTATTTTACCAATTAACTCTGTAATGTGAGATAAATACAATTCGGTTGGCCTCACCGGCGTTCTCTTTCACTACAGTAGAAGTATTAACAGTAATCGGAAAGATTAGAGTTCGAGGATATAATTCAGGAAGAAGAATCTAGTGAAATAAACTTAAAAAGAAAAAGATAAAGGTGACGAGGAATTCGGAAGGTTAGCATTTGAGAGAACACAAAGAATGAATGCACATGTGTCATTGCAAACGATTTTGAGCCATGTCATTCAACGTCTCTAACCATCGGTTACTATTGTCTCGTGGACCCCAACTAGGTAGTCTACATCAACCGACATGACTTAGTTGAGTGGTCAGTTACTTCATGGATTTCTGCCATGTTTTGATCTGGCCGCTACCTAGCTTTCTTCCAACCTATTCCTACACCAAAAAACATAACTCGACGAGGCTGTCGGAGGTTAGGCATACGTAGCACATGTCCCAACCACCACCAACTTCACTGATAAGCCCTTCGGGACTACTGCCGGTCCCAAGCCCGGATAAAGGAGGAGTGTTGGAATGTGTGTTGGCGCTCTCATCCCGGAAAAAACTAACTTCCCGAAAAAACATTAACAATAGAAAATAATACGAACCATATAAACTATACTCTGGGAGTTAGAAGGTCTTCATTTAGAAGAGTTATGATGTCTCATGGTGAAATCCGAGTTCCTTCTTAAGTCATGAGGCTGATGCCGCTTCTGACAACCAGAACTCTTCCACGGTGTGGGCAGTCGGGAAGTAACATCCACCCTCATACCCATAAAATCACGCGAGACCAAACTGGTCACAATCAAATCCTTTCTACACCTCCGAATATTATTCAACAAAAGAATTCGGAAGCAATACATTTCTCATCACGTTCACAAGGCTTATCCATATAGCTAGTAAATTATGAGGATGACAGAGTGTAAGAGCAGTAAACTTCTATGAAATTGGTATACAAACGATGGTTAGGTTGTTCACAAAGAGGTTTAGGGGTTTATACAAGTATAAAAATAGTCTGCTTAAGAAATAAACGTCAAGTTTTCACTATACTCTGAAAATCTTTAAGCTTTACTTTCAGACACGTCTAATTGTACAGAACTGATGTTATAGTATGTAAAACTACTGTTATTTAAGTATGCACAGATATAAATAATTCATTTAACCCATCTATATTAAACGTTATTTCTTCAAATCAATCATATATGGCATTCCGTTTTTATAAACATCAATCCTTATAATTTATTAATGAAATAGTTTTTAACAAAATCACATAAAAAATATATCTCCACTTATGAAATAGAGTTATTGAATGTTGAGAGAATTAGAGTAGTTATAATTTGACGCACTTGTAGTTCAGTTTGTTCATAGGAAGTTGTTTGAGTACATTCTTAGCCTACTTGAAAATTAAACAATCTATCACTGTCTCTCTCTCTCTGTAGACTACTTATAGTATAGAAAAATTGATGCCAGTTAAAACAGATCTCTCTCTTTTAGAGTCTGTGTTTATTTGAACATTTGACGCATGAATGATTGTGTTTAAATAGGGTGACAGCGACGTGTATTGATCAGGTGTATGAAATTCTACAGTGTGGTAATGAACATAGATCACTGGTGTACAGTTAATCGGTTTTCAATAAATCTGTTTAATAAAATATAAGAGTGGCTGAAATACTATAGTTTATTGAAACCATGAATCGATCAATGTTAGACCACCATTAGAAACCTGGAAGCACTGGACGGCCGTTTCGTCCTGGTATGGGACTCAATAAACTTAATGATCTTCACAACAATCCCGTAATGCAATTACATGTGCTCACTAGTGACTAGCTTCGTGAGGAATCTTCTCCGAGTTCTAGTGGGAAGTCGTGACCAGTGAAGTTCAAACTTGTTCGGATGTATACAGTGTATGAGGTTGCGCAACTCCGTGAATCTGATCAAGTTAGACATTAACACCGTTAGGTAGTGGCTCAGTGGTCTATCGGTTAGGGCGTTCGCGCACAATACCGAAGGTCCTGGGTTCTAATCCTGCGGGGTGCAAAAGTCGCGGATGCGCACTGCTGATGAGTAGTCCCATACCAGGACGGAACGGCCGTCCAGTGCTTCCAGGTTTCTAATAATGGTCTAACATTGGTCGATTCATGGTTTCAATAAACTCAATAATCTTCACAACAACCCCGCAATGAAATACTATATGTTGCCTACGCATTTTAGACAAATTTGGTTGATTGAGCCTACAAGATGGATAAGTTAATTAAAGGTCCATTTCATTTTTTTCGATTCATGGAATCTATTTCCATGTTCCACGATATTAGATAGCACTATGTATCAATGTTTTTGTAATTCGATGAAGTGATCTGCCATTGTAAAAATGAAAACATAATATACTAACTTGTTAACTGATGAGGGCATCAAATGAAATATTTCATTTTGTCCTTCTTAAGAAAGTATCATCATCTAAATTTATTCAATTAGTTTACAAATAAGTTTATTGATTTATATACTTCTACTTCAACTTTACAAGTCACTTATTCATTGATGAGTGCATGATTTTTAATCAAACTCAACAAACTCCACAACTCTACGATGACAATTATCAAGCAGTCACTAATGACTAGCTTTGAGACAGAAATTCCAAAGTTCTAGTGAAAAACCATTACCAGTGGAGTTAAAATCCTCTGTCAGATATGAGGCAGCTATCCATCGAAGAAAATGACTGATGGTCTCACACAATTTAACGGAGTGAGATGGAAGTTAGGCTCTAACACCACACCATTGTATAGAGAGACTGAACAGTCGACTGGTTAAGTGACTCAAGATCCTTGTTTGCAGGATCGTAGTTGGCTAATGTGAAATGAATCTCAATATAATGGGACGAAATAGCATTTTAGTACTTTGAGCCTTACGCTAGTGGTCTAAAATGGACCGTTTCGTAATTACTGTGATAATCAATATATATATTATTCCTTCAAAGTATGCAGCAATGAATTACTATTATTTTTCACAGCGAACGATATTTACTCAACATGATAACAGAAAAAAATCGATGAAAAGTACATAAGAAAAAAAAGAGCACTAAGTAGTAGATAAAGACAAAAGGATTTTTTCTAAATTTCAATTAATGTATTGTACATCATGAAAATTAATATGAAATTTAATAGACTGAGAGTGAAAGAAAAATAGTACAAAGTATACAACACTCACCTGAATGACCATTATTTTCAAGCGTAGTTCTTGCATTGGATGATGAATTTCGATAAATTAGCACAGTTTTTAATTTTGGATCAAGTACGGATATGCTTCGTTTTAAGTCAATTGGTGATTGATAATAACCTGAACACATATCTTTATAGTGTTCCGGCCAAGTTTCTGGTGCAGTTCGATCATTTGTATAAGACCAATCTGTTGGAGAGTTTTTCCGCCAACGAAAATGAGTTTATCAAAAAAGTAAGAAAATATTTGTAATCATTTACACAGATACTTTATAAGCAAATTATAGATGGATTTCATATGTCAACTGGTAATAAAAAGTATTGGGTTCGTCACTTAGTCGATAAACGCGAACGAGACAATTACCAGCGTCCAGGTAAGCTACCTTGAATATCAAACTGCTAAACAGAAGACATTGTAAGAGTAGAAAGTATATTCTACAAACACCCAGCAATCACAATACGATCAAGCACACAACTCGCGTTTATTTATACATCATAGAAACGCCCTTGGGACAGTTACGAAAATAGCACAGCAGCCAATCACAGCCATGAATTTTCATGGTGGGAAGTGAAATCTCAAGGTCAACTGATCAGCTCATGCTGGCAAACGTGATATCCAAAATAAGGCATTTATCAAGCGGGTTTTTTTGATATAGCATCCTCAACAAAGAGAATGTGCAAATGTTTAATCAAAATAAACTCTCCTTTCAATTGATTGCCTTATGTTTATATTGAACATTGATACACATTCGAAATCATGCTGATGAGAGTATTGTATCATTAAACAAATTTAGCTTTTAATAATTCATATTATGATGATTAGATTGAAATTCGTTGTGATATTTCTTTTATAAGATTTTTTCTAAATATCCAAACTTTTCAATGCTAGTAAATAACCTGAAACTAATTAGACTTTTATAAGTGATACAAACGGCAGCTGGTTTAGATTCTGTGAAATCGAAAAGGGCACAAGAATATCGAGGAAGTTATGGAAAAAAATCATTACCCACTAAGCAATCTTAAGTTTACGTGCATTCCTTGTAGAAATTTGGAATTGGCTAAATCGTTTTCATTAAAAATTTGTATCAGCTAAACAGCCATAAGGAATAGCGGCAGTGTGGTGAGCTCTACTTATAAGTAGTATATGATGTGAGTGTAAACGTAATATCTGGCAGCAGAAGATGGGGGAAGATCAAGAAAGGAAGAGTGGGAACACAATGGAATTTGTATGAAACGCATGAATAGTGAAATGTCAGACAATGGATTGATGTTTTGCAAATTAACCGTTTACGATATGGTTTTCCTATTTTACTGAGTAACTCTGTAATTTACGTTAAATATAATTCGGTTGCCCTCAACTGTGTTCTCCTTCACTACAGCAGTAGTGAGCTTGGAATTCGTGTGCACTACTAACACAGAACTGACATTAGTTCAGATTTCACAATTGATTCAGTTGAAAACGCTAACTGACCACTGTCCACCTGCATAGATGATATTTTCATCTCAATAACCTCGGCTACTGGTGTGTCGATTAAGAAAGATATCTGATTTATGGTTTATCATGTGATCGAATTTCAAACCAATTATACATGACTATGTTTGACTGTAAAACTGTTAGGTCCGTCACCAAGTTTGCTTGAAACTATTATGGTTTCACCTAAGTCGATAAACTAGCACGAGACAATGAAGTAGCGCCCAGGTAGGCTACCTTGATCCAATGGCTAATCAAAAGTCTTGATATAGCGTAGAAAGTATATTCTACAAACACCCAGCAGGCACAATGCAATCATACACACTAATCTCGTTTTTTTTCTACATCATAGAAACGTCCTTTAGACAGTCACAAAAATAGCACACTAAAGTCCATAGCAGCCAATCATAGCCAAGGATTTTTCTGGTGAGAAAATGAAATCTCAAGGTCAGCCGATCAGCCCATGAAATTCAAAATTAAGGCATTTATCAAGTGAGATCTGGGGATCTAACGTCCCCGACAAAAATGTAGTTCAGAAGTAGCCTAAGTGTCGAAATCTTTGTATACAGTTTGTGTAAGAAAATATTTTCATTGCATGCACTGAGTTGTTATCATTCATCTCTTTCATCGTATCCTGCTTCTGTTATATAAATTACATTATATAAATGGACTTACAACACTTTTGTATAAATTATACAGAAGCGTATACAGGAAAAATCCCGCTGCTTGCCAATAAACTCAGTTTCATAGTTTTCCATCTATCTGCTACAACAGAGATATGGTTAGCTATCTCACGGACAGAGCAGAAATGTTCCGTTCAGTGGATGCTTTAAGTCTAGAGCTGGAATTCATCAACAGCTCACTGACCAAGATTAACTACCTTAATGCATTCATAAGAAAGCATAGATTTGTTGTAAAAAAAGAAGTCAGAAACTTGGCTCCTCTCAAAAGAAGACATTATTATTATTATTATTTATTAAAATAAATTTTAAGATACATACCAACTGTTTGTTTTTTTAACTAACCTTTTGCAATACACAAGCAGTTGAAAAATATCAAGGAGATTTGTAAACCAATCAACCACTGGTATGCCATTATTATCTAGTCAAAAGAAATTTGCAGAAACAATTTAATTTATTAAACCAATTCCAAAAGATAAATAAACTGTAGTATTTTCATAATTCATTTTTCCGCCATAGAATATGGTGGTACAAGAATGAAGAAACACTTGAATATTGTTCATTAATTTTTTTGGGTAACATATAGAAAGAAGTGTTTTGTTTTTATGTTACTAATAGGCAAGAATGAATTCAATCAACTTTATTTTATTATGTACAATAATAATGATCTGGAGAAAAAAAATATTCATCAGAAAATCTTATTTTTAACAATTTGTTGTGTTCAATGTTCCAAGTTAATATTTAAAAGGTAAAAGTATTCACGTTCAAAAAAATAGTTTGAGATGTTTTAAACGTGTTATTTTTTTTTCTTGGAACTTAGACGAAACATCAAGTTCATTTAAGGTTACATGAATATAGGTTGTAAAATATAGAATTGAATTTTGGTGAATCTGTCAGATGATATTGACGCGTACATTTTGTGCACGAAGTTGTAACATCATTTGATTCATGAATGTCGAGTATATATGTATGTACGAAACTTAGAGAAAATACAAAGCGGTAACTACAGTTTCAAGTGATATGCTCTATGAAAGTGAATTTCAAGTTTAATAGGGCAGCCAACAGATAAATAGATGGAGATGTTATGGGTTCACTTTGAGTCCTGTACTAGCCGACATTTGTCTAGTTAAACTATGAAACGATTCATTGAGACAGTTCATTCGAAAAAAATACATTTTACTATTGGTATATGAATTGCGTGTTCATACTTTATAACGATTACTCATTACAACTAGTGATGTTTTTAGACAATTTATTAAAGCATACCTTATCACTAAGTTTACTTATAAAGAAAAAATCGAAGACAGAGTAGCCTTTTTGGATGCTCTGTTAACAAGAATAATGAATGGGTCGGTAGAAAGGAATTTAAACAAGGAAAATACATACATTTCCTTAGCTTTGTAACCTTACGTTACAAAAGGAACGTGAATCAAAGCTCCTAGTTACTGAGAACATACTATGTGTACTCTGAAGAAAAACAGACACACTGGAACATTTATAAATAAATATATGATTGTAAAGGTTTGAAGGGGTGAAATACAAGCCGTGAATATGAAATCTCTTTTATGTGTCCACAATTCAAAGATGATACAACCAGTGGAATACTAATCCATAGATCATACAGAACAAAGTAAAACACATTCATGACCAGAAAGCAACAACCAGAGTTATCTGCTTACTCAACAGTGACAAAAGCTATCGAATGAATTACCTAAAATGATAACCTCGTTATGTATTTATCGATTCGACGATTCTTGCGCAGTCGGTTACATATGTCGAAGTTGTGGTAATTTACACTTTCATGCACATAAACACCTAGTGTAGCTAATCAAAGGGACTAGTGAAGGCTGCGATCAGTACAATACTTGACCATTTAGTACAAACTGGTCATAGCATAAGTTTAAATAAATCAGGTCAGTAATCTTTTAGCTAAAGTCGATCCGACTCAACATTATTGGCATTTTACTTTGAATTACTTTTTCTGGTAAGCGTTTTTTTGGCAAGTTAGATTTCAACGTTATTGGCATGGCATAAACAATAACTGTTCTAATTAAAAAGTCGGAGCTTTGTGTGCAAAAACAATAGGTCACAACTTCATTTAACATATAAATATATTTCATGTTAACACTTTATATCAGTCATTTTAACATTAAAAAATTTTACTTCACTTAAGAGTTGAGGAGAGTGTTGTTTATTATAAACCAATCATTGTTAGACCACCATTAGAAACCTGGAAGCATTGGGCCGTCCTTTTGTCTTGGTATCAGATTCATGTGAAGTGCGGATTCACGAATCCTGCTATCCGCAGTGGAGTTCAACCCTATGGTCATTACCTACCGAAGACAATGGGCGAGATTGCACAAAATCCTTAGATTGGTCAAAGTGAGGCATCAGAGCCGTTGGATATCGGCTCAGTGGTCTATAGTTTTGGCGTTCGCGCTCGAGACCGAAGATCCTGAGTTCGGTTCCCACGAGCAAGATTGGATTCACACTGTTAATGAGTCTCATACCAGGATGAAACGGCTGTACGGTACTTCCAGATTTCTAATAGTCGTCTACCAATTATTGATTCATGATTTCACTAATTACCAACTACAATCAATCCCAAATTCACATGTTATAGTTTTTAAACAATGTATTTTGCCTCGAACGTGACAAGAACCTGACGAGAATTTAGTGAAAAGAATATTCTCCGTCTATCGAAATACACGTTCATCTTTTTTCTATCTAAGATTAAAGTTTTTTTAAAACAACTAAATAATTCAAAACACTTGCTCGCTAAACTATCCAGTTTAATTATAAACAAAACTATAAGAGATAATAAGTGAATTTATCAAATTCTATTCTGTTTTCTATTCTTCTCAAGTTAAATCGACCAAATATTGTGGTCAACCGCGAAATCAGTTTGATTTATTCATTCATTAAACAGTGACGTGTTTTTTTCTTTGTCAAGCGGAATGCCAGTTATTTTTTCAATTACAAATTTAACGAATTAAAGTCACATTTTGTTCATAGAGAAGAAAAGAAAGGAAATATTTACTACATACAACATACAGTATGATTTGTACGTGTATTTTTAATTTAAACTGTTTCAATTAAAGGATAATCTTTTTTTTCACGTGACATTGTTTCAAGTTCATTGTTCATTGAAAAATAGGTCAACTATGAACTGGAACGTAATCTATCTATCTATCTATCTGTCTTCAAACTTAGCATTACGATACTCAATAGACACTTCTAAAACACAGATCACTTATTATTCATGATTAAACATTTGTGTACAATTGGTGGCTGTTCAATTTTATGTTTTTGTTTTTTCGGAGTGCATATTTATTCATTTATTTTCAATTAGAGTTATGGAGATTTGTGTTTTTACACATTTGAAATCATCAGTTAATCATTGTTAGACAATTATTAGAAACCTGGAAGCACTGAAAGACGGTCGTTTCGTCCCAGTATGGGACTTCTCATCAGCAGTGTGCATCTACGACTCCTGCACCTGGCAGGATTTGAACCCAGGACCTACGGTATTATGCGCGAACGCCTAACCACTGGACCACTGGGCCGGCATCCAACGGTGTTAATGTCTAACTCTGATTGACCTAAGGATTTTCGAAAAATATATTCTTTGAATGGGTTGATCACGATGTAAAATAATAGAGAGCCATTGAAAATGATGCATCATGGAGAAACTGTCTCCAATTCCTATGGGATTCTCTAGAAATGGCGATCCATAATAGTGAACAAGTTTAGGGCTCGAAACATTCGGTCTTAGGTTTGTAACATATGTACCATATGTAACATATGTGATCTCAAACGACAACTAAAACAGACAACTAAAACTAACTAGAATACTAATAATATCTCAATGTTCTTATCGACATCGTGAGTATTATTGTTTTCAATCACATGATATGATCATGTGATTAGCCAAATAGTCAGGTATATTTTTCAATCGACTCAGCAGTAGCCGAAGTTACTCACATGAAAATATCATCTTTGGAGGTGGACAGTGATCTGTCAACATAATTAACTAAATAAATTGTGTAATTTGAGTTACTGTTAGTCCTGTGTGTTAGTATTGCACATGAATTCCGAGCTCGGTAGTAAAATCTATACACAACTGTGCTGTTTCTGATAGCTATTGAGCTAATACAAAATCCGTAGTACAAACTAGTCTGATATATTGCTATTGTAAAAATATAAAATAGCAAACAGACTGATCATTGAACATGTCACTGAAACATGCATAGTATGAGTCATTTCGTCGGTATCGGTTTAATCATTTAAAATTGATTATTTTTTACAACTGTATGTGACACGCATTAACATCGTAAACAAGGCTTATAGTTACTTAATTAAATACAATTTGCTAATTAGTGATTAGCTTCGTGAGGAAATTCTTGGAGTTCTAGTGAGGAGACACCAACAGTGAAGTTCAACCATATCGGGTGTAGGCAGTAACTACCGAAGACAGTGGGTGAGGTAGCACAAAATCCCTAGATCGATCACAGTTAGACATTAACACCATTGGATGCCAGTCAAGTGGTCCAGAGGTTAGGCGTTCGTGCACGAAACCGAGGGTCTTGGGTTCGAATCCTACCAATAGCAGGAGTTGTGGATGTGAACTGCTGATAAGTCCCTCACTAGGGAGAAAAAGCAGTCCATTGCTTTCAGGTTTCTAATGGTGGTCTAACCATCATTCATTCATGAATTCAGTCATAAACAACAATCTCCATAACTCTATAATGAATGAGTTGAATATCTAACAATTGTAAGGCATTAAACTAACTATAAATGTCATCAGTCTTTTGAGCGAAATTCTCAATTAAACTATTTAAATCAGCATGCGCCACATATATTTCATGCATTAAAAAACGCTCATTAATCAAAATGAACTAGTATATTCATATATTTGATTCTTAAACAGTTGAACGTTTTGATAAACAAAAATAAGACTATTTAACAGAAAACAGAACTATAATTTATGTATCTTGTATGATGATACAGTTTTACTGGTTTTATTGTCATGTTTTATTGATTAACAACTAGTCAAACAAATATGAGGTTGCATTTGGCAAGTTTATTGACAAAAATAAAATGTCAACATGATTGTGAAACTTATGTGATATGTTTGTTTACTTTTTTCCAAGTGACATAGTTTATAATTGATCAAAGAAAACTCTATTCATCACTTGAACATTTCAATGTTTCATCCTGAATTTTAAAAAAACCCAATGAAATCCAAAAATGCATTGTTAATTAGTACAATGATGAGTGCAAGTTGCCGGAGTCGTACAACAGTCGCACTTGACTTGACCTAGTACTGTTAGATTTACGTCTTATCAACGAGATCGAACTAAGAGTAATTGGTGGTTTAAACTATGAAAATTCTACATTTTTCAAATATCCGTCAATGCTTGGACTAAAGATATCATCATACTAGTGATTAGACTTCAAGGTACAACTCATGTAGTCCTAATAAGAAGTTCTGTTCGGTGAACTTCAACAATGTTGGGTATGAGACAGTGGTTTTTCGTGGATCAGGGTTGTGCAACATCAGTAATTGGTTGAAAGTAGAAAAATAACATCATTGGATGCCGGCTCAATGGTCCGATGAACAGTCTCATAGAAGGATTAAGTAGCCAACCACTAATTTAAGGTATTCAATAGTAGTCTAACTACGATCAGTTTGTGAGTTAAAGTATAAAAATTTTCTTTCATGTTATAACTAACAAATAAATTATATAAAATGAAGAAATAACAAGAAAACTTAGACATGTTGTATTGAGTAAAAAAAAAATATTTTTCGATGGTAGACAGAATATCCCAGATTACAAGAAAGATAGTTGTTATGGAATAGCAGAATGAATTATCAGAGTAGGATCTTTGTAGAAACAAACTTCAACACTAGAGCTTCAATACTTCCTAGTAAAGGATGTTTTTATCAGTGTACACCAAGTGTGACAAAGGAATTAAAGCTGTTTCGGGTATACAATAGGTACATGATATGATAATGAGTGGTATGAATTTTTAACTTTATTCTTGTGCACAGCATATTCAGACCATTGTCGCATTGAGAAGACTGAGGCAGGTGAGGAAGATTGTATTATGCAAATTTGAACTCTGAGTCAATCAAAAAACGAAAACATTACATTGAATACTCTATTTGCACACCATCTTTGAGTCGTGACTTCCAACGCTCCATCCTTCTTCCATTCCTGTTGTTGCTTCCTTTCCTTCCTGTTGATACTCCATTCACTTCTTGCTTTTGCTCCATTTGCTTACCGTGTTCCTATTCTGACCTTGAGACTTCTTCTTTCACGTCCCTTCTTATACTACTTAAATCGTTCGTGTAAGTAGCACACACCACAGTACCATTTAAGATTTCTATCCTACACATTACTAAGGCGAGCCTCTGTGTTCATGGCTTTACAAATGAGTTGACACATCAAGGGTAAAATGAGACTAAGGTAGTTTAATATTTTTGGGTCAAATTAAGTTGCATAATAAAATACTGAGATATCCTAACAAAAATAAAGGCTACAGTAGCGATTAATACAACACTCAAGTCTCCAAACACAGTTGAAGTTGTACTTATTCATAATTCAAATATAATTTGTTTTAAATATTCAACCTAAATGATATTTTTACATAGTATGTAATGTGATACAAATTAACACTTGAATGCTCTTTTCAAACTGCCTAGTATATATATTTTTTTAAATGAAATAAAAAGTTGTTACTTATCGAAATGGGCAACTAATGAAAGAACTAGATAAACCTTGAACTTGTTTACTTTTTACTAACAAATATAACCTACCCAAAATAAATAAGTAAGTAATTCCAGTCAATGTTTTTTGTTAATCAAGATTGTCATTATTCTCTTAACTCAGTCAGTCAGCAACAGTGTAGACCTCCATACGTACGTACATCAATACAAGTTGCCATGCCACATTATCACAGAGATGCAATCGTTACTTCAAATCCTATAGTAGTAGAGGTAGTAGAAGTATTAGCAGTAATAGAGAAGATTAGGGTATGAAGGAATTATTTATGAAGCATAATTCAGTGAAATAAATTAGAGAAAAGAAAGATGAAGGTTATCGAGAATTTAGAAGTTTAGTATTTTAAAGAATACAAACATTGAATGAACCTGAATCATTGTAAACTATTTTTAGCTATATGATTCACAAGGTCTCTAACCATCGCTTTGCAGACACCAACCAAATAGCTAGCTACACCTATAAACATAACTTATTCCTTCTATCAGTGACTTTATGGATTTGTGCCATATTTCGGTCTGGCCACCCTTAACTTTCTTCCAGCCTACTCCTAATACATCACATTACATAGCTGATCGGGGCGTAGTCGCTGTTAATTAACTTATTAAGAGTATGAAGAAAAAAACTATGAAAAAAAAAACAGTACAATAAACAAATTACTGTTAACTAATCAACTTATCATTCTATATATATATCTATATATATATATATATATATATATATATATATATATATATATATATATATATATAATAATCCTTGTCATGTGTTTGTTGAATCAATTTTTTTTAAATAGTCCCCTAATAATAGAAATAATAATAATAATTATTATTATTATCATTGTAATTATTATTTAAAATTATCAAAGTACACAATAAAATAAAGATTTTAATCAAAATTTTATTTTATTTTATTTTATTGTTTTTACAATAAAAAAATATTATTCATTCACTTTGTTTAGTATGTGTAAAGGACAGAAAAAAATCGTAAAAATAATAAACAAAGTAAACAAAATTTTATTTATTTTTTATTTTTGTTTATCTATTGTTATTTATTTTTTTTCGAAATTCAAAAAAGAGGCGCACGATTTAAATTTTATATTTCATATACATACATACATACATACATGCATTTATTTATTTATTTAAATGTATGTAAAATGCTATATACTACTAAAATAAAATAAAATAAAAATAAAATTGAAAGAATTTTGTATTTATCAGTTAGATTACTTTTTTTTTACTGATACGTGTTTATCGACATTATGTGGATTGTGAACATACTACGTGTGTGTTTAGTAGGTAGATTAGAATATATTGTAAGCGATACTGCAACTGACTGACTATCATGTATTTCATAATGAAATCTGTAGATTTTTTTTAAATCAATAATTTTGTGAGTAGGTTGAAATGAGGTGTTTTACTAGTATTGAGTGATGATGGTCAATAAGGTGTACGTACTATAATTATATCATAATTTTGACTGTACAAATATATGCTATAATTCAGTTTAGTAGTATGTAGGTATCATGTTATATCTTGAGATGTTGTGATCCTATGATTGTAAGTTCACACATGTTTGAATGATAGTCATTGAACGATCATCAGTTTTCACAGATTCCTTACATCGTTCATTAATATTATGATATATATATATATATATATATATATATATATATATATATATATATATATATAGCAGCCAGTACAATGTTTGAATAGTTATTTTTAAAGACCTATATTTGGCTACTCATGGATGTAAATGCATTTTACACAGTCCCTTGGCGTTATATGACAAGAACATAATTCATTATAAATAATAGAGGAGTTTTGTTTACTTTTCAAGGTGTGATAACAATTTCGCAGGTTTAATTGAATAGTGCTGTGAGTAAATAAAGGAAATGATAATTTACGAGTTAATTTGATGCCATGATGAAACGTTTGACTGTTATTACTGGTGAATTCAGTTTCTAGTTAACTGTATCTTACTAAGTAAGGCTAAAATCTTAAAACATTTTAATCATAAATACGCCATGACAATTTTGAACAGCGACAAAATAACACGAAACTAAGTGAATCGGTTTAATTTTAATCTTTTCATCAGTTACGAATAATATGTGTTGCAATGAAAATATGACCAAATTTAGTCAATCAGTTATTAACTGAAGTTTAAAACAAATCAGGAAATCAGGAAATAAAAAAAACAACCAGTAAAATTTATAAAAACCAAATCTTACAGTGAGATCAACTGTTATGTTTCGAGCAACAGCTCAATTTACAAGTGAACAACACTTCCAACTATTCATATCATTTTCTGAAACTATTCGTATGACATAAATTAAGAAGTTAATGGTTCTTATTTAGAACAATTAACACCAAGAGTGTGATTATTTCATTTGGAGAGTGTAAATAATCAAATATCTACCACTATTTACATTATATATTAAATTAATATTTAAAAAGTTTCAAACCAATAAATCATTATTTTAATAGTTTACGAAAATATAATTAAAACACTTATTTCTGATGGCACAACTTACATGAATGAATCCAATTATTTAATATCCTTGAAATAAACAGTATTTTGTAAAACTATCAAAACAATTTAATTTTCATCAACTAGTTCAATGTTAAATATATTTTTACGATTGCATCAAATTGACCAATCATTTTCAAGAGTGAAAGTAAATAATTATCTGATTGGTTAAAATGAATAAACTAAATTAATTTATTCTTGATTCAAAGAAAGTTATTTTAATGAAACATAAAACATTTCAGTAAAAGAGCACGAATATTGTAAGATATTCGTTGTTCAACCTAGTTACATTTGACTAAAAATGGCTTTTTCTAAAACAATTTTTTGATCTACTCAGAAACGTTTATCGAAAAAAGTCACAGCACATGCTGTTGTTAAAATCAGTGGAAGTAAGAATAAACAACAGATAATTTTTCAATATTAAAATCATTAGTCATTAATTGTCAGACCAACATTAGAGACCTACAAGCACTGAAAGACGGCCGTTTCATCCTCGTATGGGACCTCATCAGCGGTACGCATCCACAGCTTCTGTCATTCGTAGGATTCGAACTCAGGACCTTCGGTCTTGTGCACGAATGACTAACCTCTGGACCACTGAACCGACGGCATCCGACGGTTTTAATATCTAACTCTGATTAATTCTAGCGAATTTTACGCAACCTCACCCAGTTGTCCTCGGTAGTTATTGCCTACAACCGACAGGGTTGAACTCTACTGGTCACGTCTTCGCACTAGAACTCCGAGAATTTCCTCTCAAAACTAGTCACTAATCACTAGACTAGTGTTTTTGCACATTGAAATCATCAATCAATCATTGACTACCATGACTCTAATTGAAAAAATGTAATTTTTCATCATATAATCTGATGTAAACACTCAAATTATTTGAAACCTTGAAGCAATGAAATTATATTTATCCTGGTTAAAACGTTTGGATCGTGATCATCCGCAACACTATGCGAGATTGAAAATAGAGACTTCCAGTTTGATGACTAGCATTATAAGACATTGAAACCATTGATAATGAACTAATTGGTCTGTTTCGATTAAATAGATAGAATCAGCGTCATTGTGTTACATTCTCACTCTTAATACAACTGACTTTTGATATATTTAAAGTTTATCCTCTGGTCTTCAATGTAACTTCTTACATACTTATAAGAAAACCATATCTGGATAAGTATATACTATTTTCAAGGATCAGAAAGTTACTTTATCCACTGAATACCATGATCAAGATCAAAGTGTTTGCATATATATTTTAGAATATTAAAGTTTCCCATTGTGAAAATTAGAACAACACATATAAGCGAACAATATTGTTTTCGATTAGATCGTCATCAGGCTTTACTCTCGAATATACATGAATATTTATATATGAAAAGTTTAAACTAATCAAGGCAATTTGAGTCATAATCACAATGAAATGAAAAAGATTACGTTACTGCACATAATAGGCAAAAGTTCAAGTGGATAGTAGGAAAACAGGTGTACTGATAGTAGTAAGAAAATTTATAAAATATGATAACTAAAGTAGGTCAAGGGTGGATGAATAGAATTCAAATAATCATCAAAAACATCAAAAACATTACGTAATAAGCAAATTTGTAAAAATAAAATAAAATTAAAAATATAAGGTCCATCGTTAGTTACGTCACATCAGGCCATGGAAGTGATAGGGTAGTCACGAATTTCTTGTGAACACATAAATTAGGGTTGAGTGTACATATTCCTATGGCTTCTGCGATGTGTAGGAGACGGGATCGAACTCCGTTGGGAAATGATGGAGGTATATGATAGATCACCCGAAAAGATCTAGATTTATCTACAATGTGACCACTATCTACCAGGTGTGCTAAGACAGTACTGCGTACTGTTTTTGACTGACCCTTCGTAAATCATGCTGGGAGATGTTCTTTCATTCGTTGGGTAGGTTGCCTGGAAGTACGCCCGATATAGCTATCTTCACAGGAGCAGTTGAATTTGTAAATGCACATAGAGGAGGCCAACTCAAGTAACTTATCATTCATTCGGGTAGACATCGCTGGTCAACTGGAGAATGTCAATGCAAGTTTGGCAGCGTTGAATGTTCTATTAATTAGTCTTAATAATCTGTCCTGCAGAGTATCACAGGCCACATCTCCGTTGAATTGTAATTTAATAAATAATGGCTTCTTTCGGGCGGTCGAAAACACCGACTTCTTTTTTACGGCAAACATGTACTTCTTTATGAATGCGCTGGGATAACCAATCTCGGTTAGTGAGCCGTTGATGAATTCCAGCTCCTGACTCAAAGTATCCACTGCAGAACACATATATTCTATCATGTCAGTGATATCGTTTTTCAATCTTTTCTCAAAGTCATTGTATATGATCAGTGTGATGTAATGTTGTCTTGATGAAATTAAACCAAGTATATTATGTTAGAAGTGATTAGTTATCAGACATCTTGCTAACTTCATTTCGGTCGAGAAAATGCAATAAGAACACAGAGTTCATGGTGGTGTTTCGTTATGTGAGCTGGATGTTTTGGATGTGAAGCTTTCATTGGTCTTCTGAACAACAACAAATTTTCTCCACCATCTAAACACAGAGTCTGCCAGAGCTATGTGGTTAAATTAGAACTGAAGGTTTTGAAGAATTTGAGTGTGCATTCAACTGTTAAGGGATTTATTTATCGGAAATATAACTCTAACTATGGATCAAATGATAACGAAGTAAGAATGTTAGGAAAAAAGCAATGTGAATCACATCACAGTAATATTGATTTGTCATCTATCGCGATGTGATTCTCATTGCATTATCCCAGTATCCTCAATCTGTCTGTTTCAACCTTATATTATTCATATGTGTAACTTAACAGTCTTCATAACCCCGTAATTCAGTTACCTGCGCTCATTAGTGACTAGCTCCGTGAGGAATATTCACCGAGTTCTAGTGAGAAGTCGTGATCAGTGAAGTTAAACCTTTTCGGGTGTAGACAGTAACTACCGAAGACTGTATATGAGGTTGTGCAACACCGTGAATTGATCAAAGTTAGACATTAACACCGTTAGATACCGGCTCAGTGGTCCGGAGGTTAGGTGTTCACGCGCAAGACCGAAGGTCCCGGGTTCGAATCCTGCGAGGTGCAGGATTTGTGTATGCGCACTGCTGATGAGTACCATACCAAGACGAGACAGCCGTCCAATGCTTCTAGGTTTCTAATGGTTATCTAACTTTGATCGATTCATGATTTAAAATGTATAACCTTATATTTGTCACATAAAGTGAGTTTTAAGAAATCAATGAGTGATTAGATGGTTGAAAAAATGTATTTCTCTAATGAACTACATAAATTAAACGGACTTAGTGTTTTAACTTTTCAATTCTTAAATATTCATTTATTAAACGATAATGAATAGTTAAGTTAAACTGGCACGATCATTTATGAACAAATTATATTTTATATTTTTCTAATTGTCGGTTTGTCAAAGGTTCATTCTGCCGATTAAACTTTCAATATAATTTAAATATCCTATTCAAGGTCAATGGTAGGTATTCATAGTTTTTAAGTTGTAAGACCAGTTCTAACTGTAGTATTAGTAAAATTATAGAAAGCTATTCTAAATTTAGATCGCTGAATTATACTACTTGAATAATTTATTCGAACCTTAATCATCCTCATAACTTCTAATACTTCTCCTCAGGGAGCAAAAAGAGACAAATTTACCACAAATTTTTTTTAAAAAGTTCACATCTATACCACATTGCTCATAAATGAGTGTTGTCTCAGGAATCCACTTTTAAGACAAGTCGTCAGTAGTGAAGGATTTTATCTCTACTACTACGAGATTTGAACTGAACTGTGCTAATCAGTCAATCAATCAACAGCAACGTAGAACTTCGTACGTACGTACGTACATCCGTTCTAGTTACCATACCACATTAGCACAGAGCTGTAACTATCTCATAGTAGTAGAGGTAGTAAAAGTATTAAAAGTAATCGGACAGATTAGGGTTCGACGATATGGTTTGAAGAGAATAATTTAGTGAGATAAGCTTAGAAAGAGAAAGATAGATATGATGAAGAATTCAGAATATTAGAATTTGAGAGAACACAAAGAATGAATGCACCTGCGCCATTGCAAACGATTTTCAGCCATATCAATCAGGGTCTCTAACCATCGATTACTGTCATCTCGTGGGCCCCAACCAGGAAGTTGACACCTACTAACATGACTCAGTCCATTTGTCAGTGACTTCATGCCATGTTTTGGTTCGGCCGCCATTAGCTTTCTTATTCTTTCTGTGCTAATGTGATATGGCAACCTGAACTGATGTACATATATCGGTACGAAGTTCTACGTTGTAATTGACTGACTGAATGACTGATTTTAATAACCACATATATATTTCATAGATGCTTTGATGAACTACCATTTTATACAAATCAAGATATCATATATTCATTATTGAATTTTGTTTAAACTAATGACAGAACAATTTCAATGTTTGTTCAGTCTTTTGAAAACTAAAAGTAAAATATTGCCCAAAATACTTCATAAGACAGTGTTAGCTATAGTTTCACATCAGTCAACAAGTTTAAATAATCATCTCAGACAAAAAATAAAGATAAGGCTTTGATGTTGACTCTGTGTTGAACGGCAATCAATATACATTTAGACGGAATCCAAATTCTACCAATGTCATTTGTATTTCAACATTGAAAATAAGAAAGTTACAAATAAACTGTCATATCAACTTTTGCACACAGATTTAATTTTCGGGCAGAGTTTTGGAGGTTTGTGATTTTACAACTTTGAAATCACCAATTAATCATTGCTAGACCACCATTAGAAACCTGGAGTCACTAAGAGACGGTCGTTTCGTCCTGGTATGGGACTCATCAGCAGTGCGCATACACGACTCCCGATCCTCGCAGGATTCGAACCTGAGACCTTCGGTATTGTGCGCGGACGCCTAACTATCGGACCGCTGAGTCGGCGTCTAATGGTGTTAATATCTAACTCGGATTGATCAAGGGATTTCGAGCGACCTCACTCATTTGTCTTTG